AGGCGTCTGTTGGGCACGCCCGATTAAGGTTCGTGAAGTCAACACACATCCTCCAATCCCCCGACGGCTTTGGGACAAATACCACGTTCGATAGCCATGTGATGTATCTAGCCTCTTCAACGAACCCAGCCTCGAGCAATTTATCGACTTCCTTCCTTAGAGCTTCTTCCTTTTCTTGAGTCAAATTCCTTCGCTTTTGCTGGACAGGCTTCTTTCCTTCCTCAACGGCCAATCGATGCTCCGCCACATCTGGTGATACTCCCGGCATGTCCTGTGGGCTCCAAGCGAATAGCTCCCCAAATTCCCGCAACAATTCGATCAAGGGAGCCCTCATGTGTTCAGGAGCCTGTGCTGACACTCGTACCTGCCTGTCCGGGCGCCCCTCTTCGATCGGCACCCTGAACTCATCATCCATAGGCTCTGCTCTAGGCGCCTCCTCTGGCCGAATATCTATGTTGTTCACTCGGTGTCTCCGCGCGCCCTTCCTTCTTCCTTCCTCTTCTCGCGCGTAGCGGGGGGCGCCTTCTCCCCGTGAAATCCCTATGCCTTGTGGGGCAACGAACTTCAATGTTTGGTGGCAAGTCGAGGCTACCCCATTGAATAACGCCAGCAGTGGTCTTCCCAGTATGACATTGTATGGCGAGGGGCAATCCACTATCCCAAACTCCACGGCATGTGTCACTCGATGCACTTCGTCACCCAATGTTACTGGGAGGCGCACGCGTCCGATCACATGGGAGGGCGCCCCCGAAAACCCGATCAGCACTGAATCGGATGGGCTTACCAATTCCGGCGCCAGCTGCATGCGCTCGAAGGTGCTTTTGAACAAAACATCCATCGAGCTTCCCGTATCCACCAACATCCTCTTTACCTTACACCCTGCAATGACCCCCTGGATTTCCAAGGCTTCCTCTGAGGGCACTTGACACGCTTCATCCGCCTCTTGATTAAAGCATATTTGAACCGCCGCCTTCGCCTCTTCAGATGCAGCCCGTAGGCGTCTAGACCTGTCCAACTTGTCCCGTAAATCGACGGTTCCGGTTATGGATTCCACCGTGAGCCTAACTCGGTTGGGTTCCCCTTCTTGATTCAGCTCAAACGGAGGTGGGGGTATTTCAAGTGGAGGAGGTAGGGCTTCGAGCGCAGGAATATTGCCAGGCGCCTGTTGCACGACGGGAAGAGTAGGCGCTTGAGGTTCAACCACCACAGCAGGCGCTGGCCTCGTCTCTCTTGTGACATACGCGCGGTGCGTCCTCTCTTCCGTCTTTCTTATGAAGTCGTTGAGCATTCCTCGGTCGGCTAACGTCTGCAACTCCGATTTCAATTGGTAGCAATCGGCCGTATGATGCCCCTTATCCCGGTGAAAGTCACAATACCGATCTAGATTCCGCTCGTTTGGTTGCCCACGCATAGGTCCCGGCCAACGCACATGGTATCCCCTGTCCTTCACGTATTGTAGAATGTTTTTCAGGGAGTCGTTATATTCCGTGAAATTTCCCGCACTCCTGGGTGGTGGGCGCTGACTCTCCATCCTCCTTTGTGGAGCGTTGTTCACAATGAATGGTCTAGGCGCCTGGCGCACCTCCACTTCTTCTCTACCAACACGCCTTTTCTCTGCCCTCCTCGCGGCCAATGTTTCCTCCAAGGCAATAACCTTTTGAACCCTTCGATCCAGATCCTCAGTCGACACTACAGCCCTCTTAGATAGCACCCGACACAACTCGTCACTATTCGTACATTCCTCCAAACACACTCCCAGGACGGGCGGTTGCACGTCCTTCACGGCCATGGCGACCGAAATCCAACGGTCATAGAACTCTCTAAGCGCTTCACCCTCTCTCTGCTTGATTTTAAACAAAGCGCCTATAGTCAACGTCCGTCGCTTACGACTAGCAAACTTGGACAAGAATAGCTCTGCAAATTGCTCAAAGCACTCTATGCGCCCCTCCTCCAACTGATGATACCAATCTAAGACTACCCCTGCGAACGTCGAAGGGAACACCTTACACAACGTGGCATCCGTGCTATTGTACAATTGCATCTTCGTGAAATAGCTATTCAGATGATCTTCTGGGTCAGTGACTCCATCATAGCTGGTCAGTGGTGGGAGCGTAGTTCCTGCTGGTTCCATCAACACACTTTGCGCCAAGGGTTGTCTGATCCCAAAGCGCCTGGCCTGACGTTTGGGCGTCCAAGGGTTCTGTTCTTCCGGCGACGGGATGGTCCACTCGCCTGGCGCCCTCCACACGCCCGAGCGCCTAGGTGGTGTTACCTCAGGATTGTGACCCTCATAGCCCGGGCGCCCATACTCGCTAACCTCCGAATCATCTACAAGCCTATCCCTCTTCCTCATTGGGGGGCTGTACTCCCTTGTATCAACGCTCCTTCCTCCCTCCAATTCCCTCCGAAGCATTGCTATCGCTCGGTCTTGATCAGCAATAATCTTGAACAGCTCCCTCTTTGACAAAGAATCACTCTCCATGGATGGGCGCTCACGGCTTTCGTCCTCCACGTCCATGCTCACTACTGGGCTCGGCCGCCGCTCACTCCCATCCTGACTGGAATTCTCCGTCCCCGCATCCCCGGCGCCTTCACTTCCCACGTTCAAGTCTTCCATCCGTCTTAACTTGCCGAACGACCCCTTCCTGGCGCGCCAATTGTTGAAGCCAAGATACTCTCCCCTCCACGTGTCTCCTCCGACTGCCCCACGCCAAGCGCTTGAACCCTGCAGGACGGGCGCCTAGAGGGCTAAGCCCGTCCGTTAGCACTCCAACGATCAAGTCAGGTGCGACTCTAGAGAGAGAAGTGAAGAAAGAAGTTTAGTGTGAGAAAGACCGACCTGCTTAAATGCTACCTACCAAGTGCTATTTATACTACTCGAGCTCCTCGACCAAGCTCCGACCAACTTCTGCCACCAAGACTTATGTCAGCCTAGCATTAAATGCTCGGTCTCCCCTGGCGCCTACACGTGGCATATCGTCCATTTTCCACGTCGGGGCGCATAGGGGGACCACTTGCCTCGTGGCGCCCTTCTGACCTTGTCCACCTGTACTCCCTTGTCTGCGAGCCTATTTTGTCGTCATGCGCCCCTGCTCCTCTATAGTCATCTAGGTCACACCCTTATGGGCCATAAATGGGCTTCAGGCCCAACAGGCTCCTAACTTTCATGAGCTCCTTTCCACTATCCCTACAAGGCCCAATAGGCTCTTAACTATCATGGGCTTCTCTCTTATTACCCCAACAGTATGTAATTCTTTTTTCGAAATATATTGAAAATGAATCTCATTTTTTCGATCACAACAAACGCGTTCCATCTGTACAAATCTTTTGAAATTCTAGTGATAACGAAGAAGATAAAATTCGATTTAGAAAACTCTTTAATCTCATGTCTTAGATCTAAGCCCTTCTGGCTCCACTTAAAACCAAAGGCCAAGATCTAATTATGCAAATGTTTGTGCGGAGTTCATTAATAATCAGTTTTCTATAATTATCACTTAATAATGAGATGACAACTCATAATTTTTTCCCAATCTAATTTGATGGGCTATATCTCTTTTATTTTTAGTCGGCATTCCAAACTATTTGTGTGAGAAAAATATTAATAATTATTTTCAAAATGACAACCACTTTTTTACCTTTTTAGAAGAAAAACATTTGTAACATATATTACCAGTCTATATTATGATGGTAATGTTTGGTCGTACACAAGATTGTATCATGGTAATATAGAAATGTAAGATGGTTGTATGAATATATAATAGTGTAGAATGATTATATACATAATAGTAACAATATACTTACCACCTTTCACTGCAGCCTACCACCAGTTACTACCATATACCAGGGTGGTATAGAGTGATATATTTAGTCATTTTTTATAGAAATTTATAGATTACAATAGATCACGATGAACCCGTTAATTATGTATAACATTTTCAAAACTTGAGTTAAAACGAAGGTGGTACATAATGGTATTTGGTGTAATGAGTGGTAATGGGTGGAAAAAAAAAATTCACAAAATATATAAAATAATGAATATTATTTTGTAGATCACAATGAATTCATTCCATTTGGGTAAAAAAATTAAAATCAAGGTTAAAACAACAAATATATTCCCAATTAAAAAAGTAGAAAAATAAATTTAATACTCTTACCTCTGACACTTTCAAATTAAAAAGGCCAGATATAGTTATGCGTAGGGATGTCAATTTTGACCTGACCCGATTTACCTGACCGGTTTGTCCTGTTTTGGGAGGGTCCGACACGCTCCGTAGGCGGGGCGGGCATGGGTACCTCTCATCGACCGACCTGCCCTGACCCGCCCCATTCTCGACTCATTATTGCCTAAATTACATGTAATCTTAGTCAAATTACTTAGAATTTTCCTCTTATTATATCATATTTTAGCTATAATAAAGTTGTAAATAAGTGAAAACCTCAATTTCTCCAATAATTTAACTACATTTAATCATACTATGGTTTCTTTCTTGATCTTTTAATGAAAATAACAAATATTTCTAATGTTTGTCGCATAAATTACATACCCACTAGATCAACCTGCCCCGACCCACGCCCCATTATAAATTACTCGCCCTGAACCCGACTTGCAATGGGACGGGTATGGATATCGAAATACCCGCCCGGACCTACCTCATTGCCATTCCTAGTTATGCGCCCAACCTAGTTTAGTTAGTTGGTTGCAAGAAGGGAGCATATATGTCAATAACTAGTAGCTGCATAATTATTTCTTCATTAAAATTTAGCAAAACATCTTATTTTTCTTATAACGGTTTAAAAAAAATTCCATAGAAAGTCAGATTAATTATATTCTAAAACATAGCATACACTTTGAAATATTAAAATAATTAAGTATATTTGTTAAGATTTTTTTTACCATAGTATATCATGATATATACCATTATGGTGTAGAAAAGTAGGATTCATAATACTCTATAACACTTTGATATATTTTGGAATAAAAAGATTATACCATAATATACCATGATAGTAAAAAAGATTATACCATGATCTAGGAAGTGACAGAAATTTATCATAATCGTAGGATCATAGTAGCCGGTGATACAAGTGGTGAAATTTATCACAAGTCAGTCATGCGCTTGACTTTACAATTTCCGCAGGAAAACAACAAAAGCCCATCGATCAGAGGGTTCCGGCACGTAATTGTCAACTGCTAAAAACAGTTCCAAAATGAAATCCGTAACAAATAAATATCGCCGCATAACGATCAACCTAGGCTTCATTTACGTTGTCTTTGTATCCCGATCCATCGAGCATAATCAACCCACCTGTTAATCGCATAAGCCAGAAACGGTAATCATTTGTTTCAGACCAACAGTATAGGAAATGTCTGAAGATATGACAACCAAATGGTACTTGACTTGCAAACTTACATCAATGATCCCAAGAATGTGTTTCCGGTTCGAAACACGAAGCAGATTGCACTCAGTAACACCTTCTGCTCATGCAGCAAAGGCTCCAGGATTCGCTGTTCTATAACCCCCGCTAGAACTTGGTACCTGCACAGCATGAACGGTCAAAGGAACGATTACGCGAATAACGTGTTCACAGCCCGAAATGCTTGAAGCTGGTCATATCGGAGATATAGAAAGAGTACCTCAAGTTGCTAGAGACGGACATATAGACACCGTAGGCAGCACTAGTTGATAGTATTGGCATGTCCTCTGCTTCACCAGCGAAAGATTTGTCCACCGCTTTCCGGAGATTGATCAATGTGTTTGTTACACCTACACCAATCTGAAGCAAAGAAAGGATACTCTCACTGTCAGCCAAATAGCATACAAAATGAAGTTTGAGTTGCTTTTCTATCCCCCCCCCCCCCCCCCCCCCCCCCCCCCCCTGCAAAATTCACATAGACTGGAAACAACAGAAGCTTCTCAGTTCGTGCGAAGAATTAGCATGAGCGTGTACCAGAGATGCACTAGTCCCAACCAGAAAGAGCTTCGCTCCATTCCGCTGCAAAACAAAAGAACAACAATAATTTCTCCATTGCAGAATGAGAAGTACAAAGTCTTCCATCCCGCAACGACACTAGGGTCCCAGCTAATCCAAGCAATGAACATACCACAATTGCACCTAATCTCTGCACAAGTGAATACGATGTACCAGCTAAAGCCACCTGCAGGCAACATTGAGGAGTATCATTTTGTTTATTCGAAATTTCGAACACTACTTAAACTCATTTGTAAAAAAAAAAAAACTTACCTGAAAGGCATTGTCAGGACAGCTGTAGAAGAACGTGGAAATCGATCCAGCACTAACTGCCAGGGGAGGACGGAGAGCAACAGTTGGTGCAGGAAGCCACACAAGCATAAAATCTGCTATGATGGCCATTACCTAACAACGCAAGAAAACAAACTGCATCAGAGTTCAAAAAGAATTCATGGATGTAGGAGAATACAGAGCAGCCAATAAAACAGTTAGCATAAACATACCACATCGGCGAAGACAAAATCCAGTTCCTTGCTGAAATTTTCTCTGCGTTTTTCCAGCTCTGCAGCTGTCTGAGAGGTCAAGATTCATCAGTCGGAAGATATGCAACGGGAGAACTATGCCATTTGACTTGATCATGCGGAAAATAAAGCCCTCTACACTTCTAAAGCAGCTACTGTGTGGTTAGTGTTCCAAAGTGAAAACTGGTTTGACAAGGAGTTTAAAAGTTGGCCTGTGTGGTTGACAAGGAGTTCGAAAGTTCAACAAAACAACTCAGATAAAGCTCCTGGAATTCATTCTTCACCATCATAGCAAGTACACAGTAGTAGACTCCAAATGAGCAGAAATGAAAAATCTCACTGTATGTACCAGGACCGAGTTTGTACTAGACTCATATCCTAATTTGTTTCACCATTTCTACCGACAATCACATGAGTCCAGGAACAGTGTTTTTGTGCCTCCTCCCAACTGTTCTAAGCCAATCAAAGTACTACATCGTGAAATTTCTCTCCCTTAACCAAATTCAAGCATTTCTAATTCTACTTATGCTGAGTGCCACAGAGCACAACAGGTTATCAACCAACAACAAAGGCAGGATTGCTGAACTGACCAAATGGGAAGACCAACATTTCCAACCAGAGCCAATAACATTATCAGAAGGAAAACTGTTACCCACAGGAGCACCCTCCATCTATAGTTCTATAGAAATAGCAAGTGAAGAACTTCACCTGAACAATACCCAATTAATCTTAACAACGGCACCAAACTAGGTTCAGAAGGCAAATTGCAAACAGAAACCAACCTTGGTAAAGATACCAACGCCACACTCCATTGCAACCTTTGCCAAGAACAAGTCATCAGCAAGCAGACGTTCCTTGAATCCTCCAAACTGAAGCAACCACCGGAGGATTGGCGACTTCTCAAGCTCAAAGAACCTTCGCACAATAGCCCCCGGCACCCTCCCTGCCTCAATTGCAGCAGCCAAGTCCTTGGGCAAGCTCTCCAGCGTCCTATCCGCCTAACATCTCAGCCAAGCAAATTCGCTTCAGAAAAAATAAAAAATCACAACCCTCTTCTCATACAAACTATAAGTTTCAGAAAGCCGTTTAGATACCTCAGCCAATGCGAGAAGAGACTCGGCCTGGTTCCGGGATCCAGCGTCATCACCGCCTCCCCCGCCGCCAGAACCATCTCCTCCTCCACCACGGCCGCCGCTTCCAATGCCACCGCCACGAGCAGGGGACGAGAAAAGGAAGGGTGTTAGAAATGGGTAGAAAGAAAGTTTTCTCCGGGAGAGATTGGAAGCGTAGAGCTTCGAACTGGGAGTGGCGGGAGTAGTGGAGATACGGCGGGTGATGGGTTGGTGATGATGGGAGTGGTAAGTGGGGGTATGGAAATGGAGGGAGCGGGTGGGGATGTGGGAGGAGAATGCCGCCATTGCCATTGTTTCTCCAGGTCAAATTTACAAGATCATGGTAAGAAAAAATCTGATATTTTTGGTGGCGGAGATTTGAAGAAGAATGAGGTGTGCCGTTGAGGAGAGGAGAGAGCTCGGTCGGTCAGTGATTGCTTACGCTTGCTGGAGTGGACCCCATTTCTACCTTTCGTTTCCATTTTTATTTTTCTTCCTCGTTCTAAAATTAAAACTACTAATTTTTCGGTTTCTCGCGATACTAGTGATGACAACGGATTTACTATAGAACTAGTTGTACTGTATAGTAGAATTAGTTGTTATCACGAAAAGATGAAATAGTTTATTTTTTCCTAATGAACCGTGAAAAATGTCTTGTGCTTTTAATTATATGGTCTAATAATAAAGTTAATTTTTTAGAAACTAACATATGATTAAAATATTATGTCAAAATGAACTAACCTTGCAGAACTTTTGCATAATGCGAACTGATGACGTGTTAAATAGTTTATTAAAATTAAAAAAATTATTAATAAATATTAAAATTTAGAAAGTAACATATGATTAAACTGTTATATCAAAGTTAACTAATCTTGCGAAACATTTGCATAATGTGAATTGATGGTATGCTAAATATTTTAATTAACAATCATATAATTTTAATTAATAATAAAGGAACAAATCAATATTGTTCCTATTATTTTGGAGAGAAAAAACTTACCATAGAATTTGGATAAAAAATACTTATCGTAGAACTGGTTATATGAATAAAACTCCATTGTAAACAGTACCGCGGAAAGAGAAAATAGTCTAATTATTCTTGATGGACAGTGAAAAGTGCTTGTACTTTTAATTATATAATCTTTGAAACAAAGTACCGAGGAATGTAAAATAAAATACCAAAAAAAAAATCATGTAAGGTTTGAAGAAAAACTCATCTACATCATCTCTAAATAATTATATATAAAGTTATTGATGGAAAGTAGGAGGAGTAGGGTATGATACAAGGAGATTTTGAAAACTCACTTCACACAAAAAGTTTTTCCCAAAAATGCACTCCCATCCCTAAACACGATCTATGGCAACTGACCTAAGTTAACGATGGGTTGCCTCACATGTAAGATAATCAAGAGCGGAGGTCTCTCAACTAAAGCAGAAGAACATCTCTTATCAATCAAGTCACGTGAGGAGGAGAGATGTTTAAGGAAAGATGGGAGGTAGTAGATGAAGGTTGGATACTAGAAAGCTATTCAAATTTCTCCAAACACATCTCAAAACACACACCAGTTATAGATAAACCATTTGACAGATTTGCTAAACACTTTATTGGGTTGCCACAACACGTGAGACACTCAGTTTTTTTTTTTCATTTAAAGCACATTCAAATCTAGAGCACCTTTTGTCACTTTTCGAGTCCAAAAAACGGATAGATTCCAACACATGTCATTTCCTCAATACTCACCAGTGTCAACAAACCAAAGAGGAAGTGGAGGCAAAATTTCTCATGTACCAAAATACTCCCGAGAATGCACACCATCACGACATCCAACAATTCAAAACACAAAGAGTAGGAATCATGCACGGGGAAATGTGTTTGGAACCCTCAAATTTGAAATTTTGGGCATATAATCTTTGTTCCAAACACTCTCAATTTAGGCAAAAATCATTCATTCGTCCACGTGTGCTTAGAGTCTTCAAATTTGAGAATTTGGGCAAAAATCAAGGCTCCGCACACTCAAGAGTTAGGCCAAGCACTCATTCACACACACTCAATCACAGGCCATTCACAAGCATACATTCAAACACCTTCTATTCGGATAATATGGTTTGGTCAATTTGGATAATTGGTTTGGTTTGGTTAAACTCTTTAGCTTGTTTGGTTTGGTTTGGTTTCAGACCCTTCTAACCAATGAAACCAATTAACCAATTAGTCATATATTTAACATATTATATACTCATACTTAATACTTTGCATAACCATTTAAGAGTCAATCGTTCCTCCATTTTGGACCCATCAACAAAATAAAACTCATTATTGTTCACATAATATATTTGTTCTTATAGATTGTAGACAACAGTATTTGACACCTAACTTAGATAAATCTCATATATTATGTTTGATGAAAAATTGAAAGAGAAAGTTTTTTTATCCTCTGATAATTCTAAAAGATTAAGACAATTCACACAAACACACTCAATTCATTCACCTCATACTATTAGCATAGGTTATTGCAAGGTGGCTATTTTTAATGACTCTAAAATAATTTTGTTAGGTGCATGTATTCATGTTAAGAGTTAACATGTGTTGATTGTTATGCTTAATTAATTATATAAATTATGTATTGGTGCATTAACAGAAGAGTTTTTCTCATGTAATATAGTGTTATCTTATATTGGTTAATCCGGTTAACCAATTAATCAAACCGATTAAACTTAATTTTGTTAATTTGGTTGTTGCATTAGTTTGGTCGGTTTGGTTATAATATTTTATTTCATGATTAATAGAATTTAAGCTTATTTGGTTTGGTAATTATCACGGTAACCAGTTGAAGACTCCTAGCTAGTTTTGCATTTGAATTTATTTTTAGGGTAAATACAATATATTAGCGAGAACTATTAAGCAGCGGGAAATTATAGCCACAACTATCGAAATACAAAAAATTAGCCAACCGTTTAATCTCTGTTAACGCTTCCATTAAATGATGGTGAGTTGCCAGATGGTATGTTGACGTCAAACTTAACCTATTTATTAACAAATTATTAATAAACAAAAAAAACAATAATTTATTAGCTTCTCTTTGCTCAGAGGAGCCGCTAGGGATCTGGCTAGAAACAATAGGAGTGGAAAACGGGACGAGACTGGGCACCCGTCCCGTTTGAAACGGGTACCCATTCCCATTTGATGAGAAAACTCCATCCCATTCCCAAACCCGTACGGGACGGATAACGGGTACCCGCGGGTAACCCGTAGAAGGAGTGGTTTGAGAATTTCGCTAATGTGGTTTGAGAAATTTGATTGATTGTCTTAAGTTTTTAAAAGTAAGTACTGCTTCTGTTTTTTTTTATAGAATCACCTCTTTAAAAGTGAGTTAATGACCCAGCTACATGGATCATTCATCCAAATGCATTGGCTCATTCGCTGTAACTAGCCCTGCAAGCATATATTGGCTGACCTTAAACAGGACTACTAAACCAGCAATATCCCTAACCAACAGTTTGTCAACCAAGAAAAGAACAGGGAATCCACGTCTATTAATTGGCCATTTCAGTGATTGTTTAATCCCAAACAAGGACGAGAAATGACAGAGTTGCATATGAAACATATCTCCTACTCCTCGAGCACTCTTCGTACTATATATACCAGCAAGCATATTAGTTCTCATCAGTCTGCATACCAAACGAAGGGATGGGAGGGTAGAACGGGTACCCCTAATACCCAAACGGGTATTAACGGGTAACCCGCGGGTACCCATTGTAGAACTTCTCGATCCCAAGTCCCATCCCGTAGAAAAAATTACGGGTATTTGGGTACCCATATAACCCTCAAAAAACGGGACGGGTATGGGTTTACCCAAATACCCGTTTCCCGTTGCCCCTAAGAAACAGAATCTGGCGCAACGATTTTCTCCCTTTTCTCAAACCTCGCTTCCATAGCAACGGTCTTGAAGCTAGAAACAGAATCTGGCGCCACTACCCTTCTCTCATCCGACTCAAATCTCTTCAAACTTTCTCAATTCTTGACCGACATCAAAACCCTTCACCGGGATTTCGAGAAATAGGGAGGGTACAGCTTAAGATCCATCCTCCATCGCCGAATCGCCGCTTACAAAATCTACTAGCTCGCAAATCCAACGCCATTATCCCAAGCGCAAAGTTCAAACCCTTGAAGAACGGGTGGGTCTTCACGTCGGCGGCTCCCCACTTCGACCCGAGCTGGTCGTTCGACTGGGGGGTTCTCCCAAACCTCCTCCGCTACTAATTCCAAACCTAGCTTACCATCCGCCGTGCATAGGTTTCGAGGGATGCAATGTCGGCGACCATGGCGTCCTTCACATAGGCGAACAGGGGAAAGAAGAACCCAGGTCCCCAAGGCGTCTTTCGAATCCAACGAGTCCACCAGGTTGAGGCTTTTGGGTCTTATCCTCCAATGAATATAATAACATTGAAATCATCTTCTGGGGATGGCTTGCGATGCGGAATTGAGGAGAAGCAGCGACTATCTCTCTCTTCTCCCACTTCAATCATCATTATTGGCGAGATTCAGTGAGAGCGGTGGCCGCGAGGTTCAAGTTCTGTCATGGCTGCCGGGGCAGCGAAAAGGGGAGGATCCAGAGAGGGTCAGAGCTGAGGACGACGAAGGATTTTTCCCCTTCGAGGAAGAAGAGGAAGGGGAGAAGAAGATGAGAGGAAAGCAGGGAAGAAGAACGATGGCCCTCCAATTTAGGTTTTTTTTTTTTGTTTTTTTTTCAGTTGTAAAATTATTAATCAAAAGTCATCTGATGTCGCCAGTGACGTGGCAGTCTCCGTTACAAAACTAATGTTGTTGACATTGTTAGCCATATTTTGTTTTGCGACAATAGTTGTGGCTAATAATTTGTATATTGATAGTTGTGGCTATAATTTCTCGCTGCTTAATAGTTATGGCTAATATATTGTAGGGTAATGTCTATTTTTTATCCAAACATTTTTTCAGATTCTTTTATATTATCCAAACCTATTAAAATGCTATTAATTAACCAAATCTTTCGTAATGCATAAAAATATTAGCCATTTTTCCGTTATTGTTAATAATTTTGTAACTCTTTTCTTAGTTAAAATGTTAAAATTTTGCAATATTGACCTTCATGTGTATCGAAAGTTAACATTTAGTTAATTCTGAGTATTTTGATAAATTAAATAATATAAAAAAATATGATAAATATTTAGATAAAAGAATAGAAATTACCCTAAGTATTTACCCTTCTTTTTATTATTGTTAACTTAAAATTGGATCATTCAGCTATCCATACGCTCGGCCCTAAGACTCTTATCTCCATTTCCAAGTTCTTATGGATAGACTCCCTTACATATAAATCCAGAGAAGAAACTCTTTCTCCCTCCCCAATCTGCAGAGTTGAGTGCTTTTAATCCGCGGAAGAAAAGAAACACGCACAAACAGGATAGAGCAAAACCCTTCACAAGAAATAGGAAATGGCTACAGCATGTAGCACGCCAACATCATCTCTGATGTTACCTTACGCCGCCTCCGCCGCGCACCCACAAGACCTCACTCAATCCCTTATCTGGTTCAAGCCCAAAGCTCCGTGTTTCTGCCCCTTGGCTTTGAGTTCTTGTTCCGTTGGGAGGAGAAAATCAGGCAAACGGGTCAATTTCGATGCTCGCAGAGAGGCCAAATTCGGCGGTCTCCGACTAGTTGTGGCCGCTGTGGCCGCGGAGGCGGAGGTGGCTGAAGGAGCGGGGGCAGAGGCTGAGGTGGCGGGAGAGGGAACTGGTGGTGTGCCAATTCCCACTGTGGCTCCTGCGAAGCCCAAGACAGGAAAGGCTGCATTGCCTTTGAAGAGAGACAGAGTAGGATCCTGTATACCCTGATATTTCGTCTGCAAATCGTTGTCCCTATGCCAAAAGACTCGTCCATGAAGTTTGGAAATTCTTGGAGTTTGGTGGAATTTGAGTTGTGATCATCAGCTGGAGTTACTCTCTGGTTTTGTTATATAATTGGGTTTAGTGAATTCACTACATGGATGTTGTCTCTGTGTAGGACTGGTTTCCCACTTCACTGCTGTTTGTTTTATCAGAGTGTTTGATTGTTGGGGTTAGAACACGTTGCTGTTAAAACTGCTTTAACCTTAGACTTGAAATTCGTTGTTTGATCCAGTTGGTACTTGGTACTGGTTGCGGGTTGGTGTCTTTTCTTTGCTTTCAGTATGTGACATGACATCCTTTTGTTGGAAACTGCAGACGAGATCTAAAAGGTTCTTGGAAATTCAGAAACTGAGGGAGAATAAACAGGAGTATGATGTGAAAACAGCAGTATCTTTGCTGAAGCAAATGACGAAAACAAAATTTGTAGAAACAGCTGAAGCACATTTTCGGCTTAACATTGATCCAAAATACAATGATCAACAGCTAAGGGCAACAGTAAGCTTTATTGCCTCTGGATACAGTTATTTGATCTCAGGCTTACAGAATGAGTAAATATTGGTTCAGCGCGTAACTCTACTGTTCCTCTGCAGGTAAACTTGCCTAAAGGAACTGGACAGCCAGTGAAAGTTGCTGTTCTTACGCAAGGTTGGTATTCCACTCAGCTCTATGAATTGTGCCGAAACTTAATGTTGTGTTATAAGCGGGATTTGTCTTTATCGGAGGTTCCTAGGAACTATCGGATTGGACTGTGAAGGAGAGAATGGTCAAGAATTGAATCAGTTTTGTTAATCAATACCATATTATTGACACTTGATAGTAGTGCTCTATGCATTTGCCTGTGATGTTGTGGACTGAGTTATCATGAGGCATTTCAATTTTACTTCTTGACTTGGCTATCAAAGTCTTAAGTTGCTTTATGGTATCTAATTGGCTATTTGAGGTAACGGAAGATTAGTCTGGACACTTTCAAATACATTGTGTTAGCAGGTCTTGGTCCCATATCCCCACATCTGGTGATGGATAACCCTTTGATGGGACCTGAACTATGCTGGAGTAGTGATCCAAGTTAAGGGCTACAGAGATGGCTGTTGTCATAGGAAAGTAAAAAGTGGCTTCACCTGTGGAGAGCTCGAAATTGATCTGTTACTTTTTTTTGCTGCAGAAAATTTTCAGCTCCAGTGTCGGGTTATTAGTGTAAGGGCACTTGTATTGTAGGATAAGTTTTCTCCTATCTGCATAGTTTTGGAAATTTTGAATGCTTGATGCCTTCTCTGGGACCTGGAACTGTCCTTGATTCTGTATACAGTTTCGACCTCCATACCCCAGATGAAGTGATTAGTGTTAAAGCAATTTGTTTTTGTGGAGCTCATATATCACGTGTAACTTAAACTGTCTGCAGGTGAGAAGTTCGATGAAGCAAAAAATGCAGGAGCGGATTTAGTTGGTGGGGAAGATTTGATAGAACAAATCAAAGGAGGATTCATGGAATTTGACAAATTGATAGCATCTCCAGATATGATGCCTAAGGTTATGTATTCGAGGATGAACATAGTTTACTTGATGTTGTTTTAAATCTAGGCTATTCCCTCAGTTCACTGTATGTCGTGTTATCTTGTCTTGTTCCTTATCACCACTACTACTTGCATCAGGTTGCTAGCCTTGGTAGGATCCTGGGACCTAGAGGACTCATGCCAAACCCAAAAGCTGGTACTGTCAGCACCAACATACCCCAGGTAAACTTGGAGATCCACTTTTTCAGGAATAGAAGACTCCTCCTGTACAGAGTATGCCTGTCCTTAGGTTCTGAACTGTGTCTAGCCCATTTGATGTTCTTCTCTAACTGGTGCAAAAGGGAATATAATAAAAGAATAATTGGATGAACCCTAGATATCTGCTCATCATCGTCGACTGGCCACTGGGTACCTAGTGAACTTACATGCTGGAATTTATTCAGGCAATAGCTGAATTCAAGAAAGGGAAAGTGGAATATCGAGCAGATAAAACTGGGATTGTTCACATACCATTTGGAAAAGCAGATTTCTCCGAAGACGACCTCCTCGTCAACTTGCTTTCTGCTATTGTACGTCCCATGATCTCATCCTCATTTCCCCCACTTCCATGCAATTTGTTTTTCTTCTTTCTTTTCATGGGTTCTTTTTGAGGGGTTGACTAATCTCTAAGTGAACCATCTTTTTGCCAGAAATCTGTAGAAGCAAACAAGCCATCTGGTGCGAAAGGAGTGTACTGGAAGAGTGCTCACATATGCTCATCAATGGGTCCTTCCATCAAATTGAACATACGGGACATGCTTGATTACAAGCTTCCATCGAGCATCTGATTACTGTCAGACACCTGTAAATGATGCGATGCAAATATCTCTTTATGGGGCTTGAGCCTTGCCAAGTTAATGTTTCGTAGAGATGATAGGTAGATAGGAAAGTGAGGCTAGGCATGCAAAGCAAACGAACAGTTCACTAAAAGAAAGCGTCTACTTAGAGGCTTATATGTGTCTTCACCATGCTCTGATTGTTAGTCGCTTCTCGCTTTCAATCTGTACTTTATGCATTGCGGTTCTTTTCGTGTTGTGCTCCTTCAAATTGATCTCCATTTCTTAACTTATATTATCCCATTTTTCAAATAAGACATTTATTACATATTTTTGAAATTATTGGACAAATTTGACCTATAAGACAGTTGACTGTCAAAATTGACGATCAACCTTTTTTACCATCAATGACTCGACATCCGTCGCTATGTAACATAGAAGCTCAAACTGTAATCATTTTAGTTGCTTAACCAATAGAATAAAATTTATTTGATGCAATTAATCACAACAAGATTAATACTCGTGTTATAGAAAATGAACAACGCATAACAATTTATTTTTATTTGTGGGTTGACTTTCGTACATTACTCATAAAAAATTATCATGGATAAAATTTTGTATTCGATTTTTTAGCAATGATAGAAAATTATTAACAATTGAAAATGATATATTTTTAATTTTTAGTTTATAATATGTTTGATTATTTTTATAATTTTTTAAAATAATTAAAATTCAAATAGCATGAATTTAGTTCGTAAAATTCTAAACTTTTACATAATTTGACATGTGATTTTGTTTTAAAATTTAAAAAATGAAAAATGAAAAAGCAAAGAATAATCTTCTTTTGTATTTTAGAACACGAAGAATTTAACATTTTGTTTGTACAAACTACGATAAATATGTGGATCAATAAAGTTTTATTTTGAATTTTGTAAGAAAAAAACTACTATACATATCTGAACAGGAAGGAAAAAAAACACACTTACCGCGATGTACTAGATTATCAAGAGATAATAGCATGGTGTAAATGATGATTCTCTAAGTTAAAAACATAGTCATAATCAATGAAGTTAAAAATGCAATTCTACCTAGAACCGGAAAATGGGTAGGTAAAATCGTGTTACCTATGTCTATTTAGCATATTCATGTTTGTTATCCGGTATATTTCGATATTAATTTGGAATGGTACCCTAATTTTACATAATGGTTAACTACGATTTTACTACAAAAGACCCTACCACAAACGAGTTCGGTATGACCTCCGATATAGTTTCACAAATCATGAAAATCTTATCTTACTCATGGTTATTTTGGGAGCGACATTCAATTAAGGAACTCCCTATAAATGCCATCATTTATACCAGTAAGTTAAATGCAACTACATGCTTTATGTATAATAGTTTTGGATATATAGTTACAAGTCGGTAGACACATCATTAATGATTTGTCTATCCATTAAGTACTAACTGTGCACACTATGAAAAAAATAATTATTACTAGGATTGTCATACGAATACTTGTGAACCAAAGTAGCATTTTCTTATAGCTGGGGCGTTGTAGTAGAATTTATCATTTTTCTAACTTAGAACCTACCTAAATCAAATTTCTGACTACGTTACTGCTTTATCCTATCAATTTCTCAATCAGCCGCCACAAGAAGTTATTTTTAAAAAAAAAATCGTACTTTGAATTTCAGATTTTATCATTATAATTTCTTTTATTTATGAACTCTATTGTCATCATTTTAATTTCAGTTTTAACTAATTACATTTTGTTTCTACTTACACTAAGTTATTTACTTTTAGACTTCCAAATGTCAACTAATTACAAATTTCATCTTCAGTTTCAGGGTAAATTGCAAATTTGGTCACTGGGTTTACAAAAAACGTTCATATTTGGTCACTACAAATATTTAATTTCATTCATGGTCACTAAGATTAGTTCAATAGTTCATGTTTGGTCACTCTCCGTTAACTTTTGTTGATATGGCAGTCAACATTTATAGTTGACCGTTAAATGAGTGACGGGACTATTAAAAAAAATTAATAAAATTTAATTTATAATAATTTCCACCTCATTACACATTATTGAAAATAAATTAAAACCTAATTTCTACTAATTGGCACCTCTTTCTCTTCGCCCCTTCTTTTCACCAACTTCCCCTCTGAAACTCCTAATCGACAAAACCCAGTTGACCAAAGGAGAAGAAATCCCAGTGGCTTCTTCCTCTTCCTCAGCATCATTTTGGAGTTTGGCGAAAATAAATTTGTATCTTCCCTCTGTTTTATTGAGTTATTAATTCAACTCTAATCACTACTTCACTACCCCTTTCGCTTACTTACTCCCCCTCTTCCAAGTTCCAACCCTAGCCGCTGTCCCTTTCATTTGCTTCAACTCTAATCACTACCTCTTTTAAGACAAATTTATGTTCTGAACTTGTGGCACCTCTGCACTGTTGATCAATCCCAGAGTTCACTTATGTCTTCCTTTCTTATTTGTAGCGGCAGTCGTCAAGATCCAGAATCGCTTATTTCTACGAACCGCACTGTTGCGGCAATCCGACCCTCAATCGACCCAAAATCCCAATTGGGGAAATGAAGTTGAGGAAGAGGAAGAAGCAGTTGGGATTTCTTCTCCTTTCCCCAACTAGGTTTTGTTGATGGGGAGTTTCATATTGGGAGTTGGTGAAAAGAAAGGGGAGAAGAGAAAGGGGCATCAATTAGTAGAAATTAGGTTTTTAATTTATTTTTTAATGAATGTGTAATGATGTGGTAATTATTATAGATCAAATTTTATTTTTTTATTACTTTTTAATAGCCACATCACTTATTTAACGGTCAACTATGAATGTTGACTGCCACATCAGCAAAAGTTAACGGAAACTAACGGAGAGTGACCAAACATGAACTATTGAACTAATCTTAGTGACCACGAATGAAATTAAATATTTATAGTGATCAAATATGAACGTTTTTTGTAATACCAGTGACCAACCTTGCAATTTACCCTCAGTTTCATTACAATTCCTTGGGATTGCATTACCTAAAAAGAAGGGGGAAAAAACAATTTCTTTGGATTGCATGTCACCAGTGTTATGACTGATTTTATGCCAATTAATCACCAATTATCCGATAAATCTTAAATCTCTCACTAATCCAAATCATTGTACAGTCCAATTTCAACAACACCGGCTTTAAGTGACCTGATCACGGTATTCATGTTTGTTTAACCATTAACCGGCTTACTCCCCATGTTTGTTTACAAGGTGAAAAGCTTTGGCCAACACCACCTACTGCTATTACGCCAATTGTAGTAGACTTATAGAAGAGGCGTCATGTACCTCTGTAGTTCTGCTAAAAAAAACAGGCCATTCAAGTTACAAAGACTGTACATAGTCGTGGTCAAAAGTATCCATCGGGATTTACATTAAGGATCACAGTTGATTCAGGTCAAGTTGTCGATCAACTCGTATGATGCCTACACAAAAACAGAAACAGTAGCAGCATTCATATTTATCCTTCAGCCAGAGCTTTTTTTCCTTAAAGAATACCCAGCCATCTCCACATGGCCGACGGGCTGCTGCTGGCTTTAACACTTGACTTCACACTACGCATCTCACAGCACTCCAACAGTCGCCACTGCTCCATACTGGATCAACCAACAAAGGAATATTAAAACGAAACGATCATCTACCAGTCAAGACTTCACAAACAATACCCACAGAAACAGACCCAGAGTTGCATTGGATTGTTATTTCCTTTTTGTTTTACCTTTTGAAGGTTGTTCAATCCAAGGTCCATTCATTATGTTCAAAATGCTGCATGCCTCACTGTATTCAAGGTCCGGCAGCAATTTCGGGGTCAGCAGAAAACACCTGGCCAACATCCATGCAAAGCAAAACCAAATTGCTAGTTACCACTTGCGGTCATCTTCATACAACATAGAGCAAGTTATCCAGAGGGCAAGAGAAACATTTACTTACTGCGGTGTATTTGGTTGGCTGGCAGCCCTCACCAGCTGTTGAAACATCTTTCTCTCGTTTATTGGGTCCATTCCTGGAGGCAAACGTAAGAAAACAAGGATTAAAATTTTTAATTTATTCTTTGATAAATAACTGTCTCAAGCTGGCAGCAAGCAGAGAGAAACAGAGAGCATCATACACAAACCTTGATTGATCTCGTCCACCACCCTGAATGGGCAGTTTGTAAGGTCTTGAAGTGAAACAAGATACAGAATTGTTGAAACAGAGCGTTCCTACACATTGAGATTTCAGCCATGAATTATTAACATGATAATAGCTATCCTGTTGAAGAGGTGAATGGAATTTAGTTGATTAGTTACCCCTCCAGATTGATGATGAGCACTGAGGACCTTCAGTTCTCCGGCTTGCCTGAGATGCAATGTAATTATGCTTCATCAGAAATAGATCAGCTACGTAGAGCATACTTAGCTTGACAGAACTATTGATTGCAAATAAATTATCCAACATATGACCAAAAGGAAGAAAACTTATCCAACAGTTAGTACTCAAAAGTTTCAGTCGCGATCTCAGCCGGACCCCACAAGTGAAAAAGGACTTCCTTGCAGTTCAGTTAATTAAATATTTTAAATAGCCAGTCCCATGTGAAAAAGGGCTTCCTATAAATTGCCATCACCTGAACTTCACTTTTATTAGTATTCCATATTGATCAAAGTCCTTATCGTGCTCATCTGTGAAGAAGCAGAATCAGCGAGAGAAATAGACAATGTAATCACAATTGCGTGAACTTTTATAAGGAAAAGCAGAAGAAACTAGCTCAATATCTTCTTACCCAAGGAAACTTCCCCTGCAACAGCCATCTCCTGGAAGTTCCGGCTGAAAGTTTCATTTATCTGAGCAACCAGATTTCTCAACGTTGGAAGCCATCTTGCCTGTGGAGATTTGTAGGAGCACATCTAATATCAATCAACATGTTTGGAAGCACCAGAAGAGAAAACCCAAAACGAAAGCTAGTTCAATGGGCAATAAAGTCCCTGAAACTTGTGCTGGTCATTATAACCATAGCACTTGTTAGAGTTGAAAATTTTGATAAGACAAGGTGCCTAAAGCGTTGCAATTCGTCTGTATTTACTTCTGCAGACAATTCAACAGTCAATACCAATGTAAGTTCATTGGATAGGAATTCCTGGAACTACTTCCTACTTCAAGAGTAACCTTTTGTACCAATAGTATGTAGCATAGCCTATGGAGTAGCACGAAACCCAAGCAAGAAACTTACAAGTTAATGTACCAAAATAAAGTGTCATGCGTCTATCACAGTAGAGCAAGTAAATATTAGTCAACATAAAAGTAGGTTCATAATTCAATAAATAAACAGCTAAACTCACTTTCAGTTCATCTATTTCTTCGAGACACCTCCTCTGCTTCTCAACATCTTCTTCGAGCTTGCTTTCCATGTTTTCTATCTGCGAGTTACTAGCCATTATAGAT